CCACCAGATATTGAGTAATTTTAATTTTCGGTGGACAAAACCCTTGTACCAGAATAATTTAAAGAATATTGCATTCTTTTTTTACTTTTTTCAAAGGCTGAAGATGTAGTAAATCATCTGTAGTAACACCAAGGAAAATTTCTCATGGAAATCCGAGAAAATAAATGTCAAATTTCACAAGAATTGTGATTACACAGGTAAAATTCTGGAAATTTCATGCGTAAGATGTGGTATTGTCAAATTTGACATTCATTTTCTCGGACTCCCACGAGAATTTTTTTTTTGGTGTTATTACAGATGATTTATTACATATTTAGCCCTTGAAAAATGTTAGAAAGAACGCAATATGCCTTAAATTATTCTGTTACGAGATTTTTTTCCACAAAAAATCAAAATTACTCAATGTCCCGGTGGATTCCGTCTTAACGTGTTTCTAGATAACTTTTAGGAAAATTCATTAAGTTTGGCGGTCAAAACTTGAACGGTTTTGAACTAACCTGAGTTATTCAACTTTTTAGCGAAGGGGGCCTCAAAAGTCTCCCCGGTCTTAACAGGGTTAAGTATCGTAATAATTACTTTTCATTCAAAATTATTCATAGAAGTTTTATATTTATTTGCATCTTATGTGTTAGTAGGATCTTTTTAGAGATAGCCGGCTAGTAACCATAGCACATAAATTAAGTTGACTGATTGGTTGATTGACTATATAGTTACATTATTTAGGAGAAAACTAATCCTGTTAAACTTAAAGAGGGAGAACACTTGCCTAAACATCTTTCGACGTTAAAAGTGTTACATGCGCGATCTGCGTGTCGAAAACTGTAAAATCTATTCTTACTGCATTATATGATGATATATTTAATTCAAGACATTAAGGAAATTTGAAAATGCATAAAAGAAAAACTAAAACCTTCAGTTTCCACTATCTGAAAAACATTTTCCCTTTCTCACCATATGAAAAACAGTACAAAGAACTACAGCATAGTGTGTGTCAAAACGAGTACACCAGTAAGTTTATTGATCATCATTGGTTAAGAGTCGATTTGTTGATTGTCAAATTGTAGGTTCGCAAACGAAAGTAATTGCATCGGGTCTAAATTATCTACCCTCATTGACAGCGAGGATGCCAGGATTCCAAATATCAAACACTGACAAGCAGAAAATTGCTGAAAAATACTTCTGCCTTTATTGCCTTTTGCTGTTAAGAGATGCGATGCAAACAAGCTGTGGTCATTTCTACTGCCAGTCCTGCTTGGAGAAACTTTTCACGTAAGTTTTTACTACGCTTGATTTAAAATACTGTGAATAAAATTCAAACTGCTTGGTTGAATCACAGAGCAGAGTTTTCTATCCGGAATGGCTTTTAGCATTTACGAAGAAAGGCCCCTGTGCTTGCAAGGCCCGTAAATCACTGGCAACCAAATTATAATAAAATAGTTTCATATTTTGCGAATTTCAGTCTAACAGATAGGATACTATATATTTTTTCGTAGGGATGTGAATGAAATGGTGATGATTTGTCTACAGGACCAGCAGCGCCTTCTGTCAAACGAGGTACGTAATACTTGTCGTGAAGTATTTTCTAGGTTGTTTTGAAGATTTGTGTCATGCGGTATTTAGTTGATTTTATGTTCGTATTTGAAGTTTCACTCGTGCTTGGAGTCTCGTTCAGTCAAGGTTAATCCAAATTTGTGTCTTCAGGTTTTTTAATTGAATGTTATCACCTCTTTAATGGTTTTATTAACATAAGTGTCATTTATCTTGGCGGAAAGGTTCATAATTAATTAAATACAGTGAGTGCATGTCAGACATTGAAGTGGACACGTTTGGGATTATAGCTGACTTGATTATTACCCTACTCATCAAGTATTCTTGTTTTGGTTTAAGGTAGAGCCTCTTGGGTTCGGTTGTCGAGATTTCATTGGTTGTCTTGTATTTGACATCCCTTGACATGATTAACCGCATAGGTTTCTTTTCAATTCACCCGGCCGGCATTTTGGTGATCAAAAGGAAGTTCATTGAAGTCGCTAGGGAGTGTGTTGGAAACTTTCATGGTCAGCAAGCCCGGGTGTATATTTAGACTGTAAATAAAGCTAGAGATGTGAAAGGTTTGAACGCAGAAGTCATTTCATAAGTACGTTGAGCATGAACGTAGTCGTGACCCAGACCTGTTGTTGACAGTGACTGACGTTTCGACAACCTATGTGATACTCATCTTCAAAGTCAAAGTCAGTTGTATAACGTCAGTTGATGGTATTAAACACTGTTTAATTTGTCCTGATTGGCCAATTAAGTCGCGATTTTATTGGTCGTCTGTCAGAGTTAAGCGGTGATGTTATTGGCTATGAAGAATGTCATTGGTACGTTTCGATCCCTGGCAAACGTCACTGATCACTGCTGATTGATAGTCATCAGTTACTGTCATCCTACAAACGACTTACTGACGGACTCAAGCTAAACTAACTACGAGAGAATAACTGTACAACCGACAATAATGCTATTGTGAAACTGATTATTGTGTTAGCCACCTTCTTCATTCTTGCAGGTGTTGGAGCACATTATTCTGTGTAGTTTTTGTGGCTGTATCATGAGCGTGTTTTAAAGTTATAGAGGGGGACCTCCAACCCCGGCCCCCCGGGCACTGGAAGTAAGAAAAAGCCCGGTCTGAATAGGGCTAAAGGACGTAGTTTGCTTATTACATATATTCTCTTATAAAATTCAAATTTGACGAGTCCGATAGAGTTTGGACTGCTGGTGAGACTTACCGTAATAACAAGGCGAATCATCGTTTGTTTTTGCTATTCTCTCATTATTGTAAAATATCAGCGGGTTTGCCACATTTGCTAGCTACATTTGCTACCTTTGGATAACAAAGGTAATGCGAAATGAGTTCACATACATGTGGTCGTACGAACATCTTTGAAATGGTCAGTTCAGGGTGCATTGATCCGGCGTGCTGGCATAAAGTTACAATTTTGAATTAAAATTGCTATATCATAATTATCAAATGTGACTGACAATTGCTTGCAGGTTTTTCCTGATAATTTTATGCGTCGAGAGGTACTTACCCTCGTTGTTCACTGTACATTCATGGAGGATGGGTGTGCTTGGAAAGGAGAAGTGAGACACCTTGAGGTACTAAATTGCATATCAAAATCAAACAACTAGAACTACGGGTGAAAGTAATAGATTGCGCGGGCTTAACGGGTGTCTGGGTAAGAAAAATTTGAAAAATTTATATATTCTTGCAGTTTTGTTGCTTTTGCTACAATCTTTGAGCGAATAGTGGAATGTCCCGTATTGAGCGAGACCTAAAGCCCGAAGAATTGTGATTCAACATGGCGTCAAATAACGTAATGATGTTGGAAAATACATTTTCCCGGTAATGAAAAAAAAATACATAATTGGAAAAGGTGTTGCCATGGAAGAACCAAGTACCGTAAAAAGGTGATTGATGTAGAAAGATTGTCCCTGATAAATCTCAGGACAAAACAAGAAATTTTGCGATTTATACCGTTGAGAGATTCCAAGGTTTGAATACTCAAGTATTCTTTCCCCCTCAAAACGTTTTTTTAAAATTACGGTAGAAGATGGACGAATAACCTTTTTCCTTTTCCACAGAGCCACACGTCTGGTTGTGAGTTTCTTAAAGTTCCATGTGTACATCCTGAGTGTAGCACGCTCGTGAAGAAAGCTGATCTTAAACAACATTTAGAGAGGTATTGCATGTACCGGCCTCAGAAATGTGAATTCTGTGCGAGGGAAATTCCTTTGACCAATTTAAAGGTATCCAACATTTTATTCTGCTTATTCATTATTTATAATATTACTAGAAACTGGTTTTGGCTATTTATAAACCCAGCAGTTCTTTAAAACACTTCTGCTTTCAGACTTACGAAAACAATCTCGAATGATCATCTTTTTTCTCTCAGCCCTTAAAATAATGTCAATACATTCTCAAACACGTACAAGCCTCCACCAAGTGGAGCAGCTAAGGAGTACGAGTTGTATCTTAAATTCCTTTTCAATTGTAGCTTCATCAGGAGAGGGAGTGTCCTTTATATCCAGTTATCTGTAACAAATGCAGTAAAGATGCTATCCCCAGACAAAAGGTGAGAGGAAATTTTCTAAACAGGTTGATAAAGAGAGGGACTCAGGCTGTGGAATAATCTTATGGGTAATCCCTCACACCCTCTGCAGGATCTTCTCCCCCCTCACAAGCGGAGCAAGGCTCTACGCGGTGAACTACGTTTTTACCAGGTTCAACGTGTTAATACTGAAAGGTTTAAGAACTTATTCGGGGAACTTATGCTTTGACGTCTATTCAAGTCCACTTACTCTTTTATCAGTAATCACTTTATTATTTAACATTTAAAAGTTGGCAGATCATCAGGATCCTGTTTTGGGAGACTGTGACGGAGTAGAAGGTCCATGCCCCTTTGCACAGATTGGGTGCACTAAAACCGAGGTGAGATACATCGTATTTATTCACACTTTTGTTCCAGTGGCTTTTGCCCCACTAAAGACGTGATTTTGCTTTCTCTCCTCCTCGAAAATTGACCAGACCCTGATTTTTAGGAGAAAAAAAAACAAACAAAAACAAAACAAAAACATCACGTCTAATTTTAAAAGCGGCTACTAATATTTTAGTTTCCTGCAGTTAAGAAGTCGACGACGGTGTGTTTTTTGGCATATTATTGAAAAGAACTGTCTGTAGTTATCTGCTATAAGCAGTACATGATGTGCCTGCTATATTTAACTATTGCATCCATTTTATGGTACTGTTATAAGTTCATGTTCAGGTAATGTTAACTATGCTAATAGTAGGCAACTGACCATGGGAGAAATTGTGGCACTGTATATCAGTAGAACAGTGGAGGACAATAATTGAGTTTTATAAATAAATCAACTGACATAAGAGTTTTTTGTAGACTGAGAAAACAGCCGACATTTGGAGACGCTACCACGAGCGCAGAAATAGTCCAGTTTCGAGTTCGCTATGACCACCGAATTAAAGAAGTGAAGAAGCATTTTTTACCGGCTTAGCCTCCATCTGAAGAAAATATATTTAAAATTCCAACGAGAGAAAGACCTGTTTATATCACACCACCACAACAACAATCTTTATTTGTACTCACTCTTGCTCAAAAAGGAATTACAACCATGAAAATATTAAAAGTAAAAATTAGAGTTCTGGCTGCCTGGAAAAACCATGGGGGCTAGCGGAGCCAGGCAGCCTGTTGATATCACCATTAAATAAAATTAAAGGCCAGCAAGAAAACTGAAGCACAAATGCACACATAAAAAGAAAAAGAAAAAAAAAGGGAGAAGAGGAAAAATGCTATTTCTACGCTATGAAGGAAGTCTAAAATGGTTAAATTTATAAATGAATACAAAACATTAATATAAGAAGAACTTGAAAACGTGACAGAATTTAACAAATAAAAGACTATTTTACAGGTAATTTGGGAAACAACACAACTGCTAATAAGAACACAAGTAACTAAAAAAACGTTAAAATCTTTGACAAGATCGCTTTTTACTGATTCCTTGAAGTTTGAAATAGAGAAGGTTTTCAAATTTTCACTGATTGAGTTCCATATTTTTGGGCCCTTAAATCTTATGTTAAATATTCCATAATTTGTTCTTCCTTTAGGTAAAGTTTAAACCATATTCGAGGCACTTCTTTTATTATAGTTCTGTCTTTTATTGACTTGTGTGAAGAAAGTATCAAACACAGATGGTAGACGTCTATTGTAAAATTTACTCATAAAGACTGCGATATTAAGAAAGACAAGGTCAGGCAATTTAACAATATTTAACACTGTCTATCGACTGTGTATATTCAAATTTCAAACACTTACTTACCGGAATAGCTAACCCTGTATGAATGTGTCGTTAATGTTTGTATTCAGCCGTAATTTTTAATTCGAAACTGGACCATGCCATACTGATGACGTGTCACTACCCAGATCTGAGTAGTGTTGCTGATTGGTTGAATAAAATTTCCCACGCGGCAGGACCAATCAGAAGCACTACCCAGATCTGAGTAGTGAGGCGTCATCAGTATGGAATTTCTGCCCTCGTTCTTCGGACGTCATTTGGCGGGGAAACCAGTGGTAGCGTCACCAAATGTCGGCTGTTTTCTCATGCTAAGTTTTTGTTAGTTTGCGAATACAGCTGTCTCTCCTTGCTTCTCACCGCTAGGTATGTTCTCTCCTGCGAGACGTCCTTAGCGGCGAGAAGCGTTGGGAGACGGCTGTATTCGCAGGCTAGGAAATTTGCCCCCGTAAGGAAATCCATAAGCTGATCATGACGCTTCGAGTGCTGTCCCTTGGTCAATTTGAATTATTTCTTTCATGTTCAAGGGCATCCTGTCGTTTGGTACTAATGAATTTAGTGCATGTATAGGTTTTAAATTAGTATGTTCGATTTTGAAAGGTCCTCAACCAAAGGGAAAAGAAAGAGCATCTACAACAAGAACATGCACACCACACCCTTCTGCTCTTACGCACTGCACTTGGATTGGGCAAGGACAGAGAGGCCATTTTTAGACGTGATCCAAGAATATTGTCCAGAAAGTCTCAGTTTCTCTCAAACTACGATAATTTAATTCAGGACATCCTCAATCAGATTCAGTATAACAAAGAGGAAACCAGGAATTTGCAAGGAAGGATTCAAGAACACAGCCAACGAATAACCGCTTTAGAGGGGAAGATGGCCTCTGAGAATATATCGGTTGGAGCGTCACCTTGCCAACTCCTTACTAATTCTGAAGGTAGCCTTACCCATAACGATATAACCAGAAGACTGACTAATGTTGAACACAAAACCGCAGACCACGAAGTGCTCTTGGTAGAAAGTAATCGCACTGTAATGGAGACGAGCAGGGAAGTAAACAATGTGAAAAGACAGTTGGAGGGTGTCCAAGACACTGCAAGGAGGACAGAAAGACGGATTGATTCTATTGAACACACGTTAGCTTTAAGAAACGTTACCCTTGCTGATTTAGAAGAGTACGTTAGGCAACAAGAATTTTCCAGCTACGACGGCCAGCTACTTTGGAAAATAACTGAATTTACAAGGAAGAGAAATGAAGCAGTCAGCGGTCAACAGGTGTCTTTTTATAGCCCACACTTCTTCACAAGCCGTTATGGCTACAAAATGTGCGCTCGTATCTATTTAAACGGTGACGGCATGGGCCGTGGAACGCATATCTCCGTGTTTTTTGTTGTCATGCGTGGTTTGTATGATGCAATTCTTCGCTGGCCATTCAGACAGAAGGTCACGTTCATGTTGTTGGATCAAGATAACGTGGAACACGTGATCGATGCCTTCAGGCCTGATCCTAGCAGCTCATCTTTTCAAAGGCCAAGAAGAGAAACAAACATCGCCAGTGGGTGTCCCATGTTCTGCTCCCTAACTGAATTAAATAACCACGCCTATGTGAAAGATGACACTATGTTTCTCAAAATTATAGTAGATACTTCTGATTTATAACCTCTTTTGAGGGTTGGCAATTTTTGTGCATTGCAGGAACTAATTTTTGCGTCTATTACTGAAGACCGGGTGTGGATTTACTGTACTTCTGCGATTTCACTCAGGTAGTCCCGTTAAATACCGTAAAATCCCATGTTAAAGCCCAGGGCTTCAATAACTTCATAATGGGTTTTGGGTGGGCTTATAAACGGGGGGCTTATATCCGGGGGGCATATAAGCGGAATGGAAAAAAATGTTTCGGAACGACGAAATAAAGTGTATCTGAGAAACGAATTAAAGCAAACGTACCATTACATTTAGAGTTACATTTATAATTCATTTATTGTGCGTCACAATAAACGAGGAATGTATTACAAAAACATCTACAAAACACTTATGCGACTGGAACAACTGGAACGGAACAGAGCGAATGTAAAAAAACTACAAGCCTTAACGTTATCAATTTTGGAAATGAACAGTGAAACAGAACTCGTAGCGTTGTTATATATGCACGAAAACTTGTTTATTTCTTTGGTAACAATACAATTATTGTTCTAAACTCCACAGCCTCTTGCTTATGCCTATAACTTTAGATTACAAATTTTGATGTTTGTAAAGAAACGCAAAAGGAACTCACTTATACATTAGATGGGCTTATAAACGGGGGGGGGGGGGAATGGATGGGCTTATATCCGGGGGGGCTTTAACGTGGGGTTTTACGATATATAAAAAGTTCGACGTTTCAACTGGGCCTTGCTTGTTGCGACAGGTGGTAGATAGTGTTCTGATTAATTACAATCTTGGGAACACATTGAATGAACTGTATAAAGGTGTATTCAACTCTGAGTAAGACCGTCCGGCTGTACTGTGTAAAGCTGTCTTTTCCAAAATATTTTTTTTGTGCTCAGCACTCTATCGCCATGTCTGAATCCGTTTAATCCAGGGACTAATTTGGTTCAATGTTTGTAATTGTGACGTCGTTGTCAAAGCAGCCTGTGCCAGGCTCTCGGTCAGTGTAGACGAGCGTAAAAAGCCAGCGAGAAGCGAAAAAAGCGCGCACCGCTTTTTCCGTCGATCCTTTGTTGGAGCGTGGAACAGGCTATTGTCAAAGTTATGAGATTTATACTGTTATGGAGAAAGTGCTTTGATTTGTTGCAAGGGCATAGCTACCCATTGCTGTTAAATGATCCCCAGTGGTTTTGCTTCTCTTAGTGCTAACGAATTTGTCTCGCAAACTTTCGGGTTGACCATGTGCAATTCGGGGTCAATCTTTAATACACGAGACAGCCTTTCTTTTGATTGGAGAAGCCAAGTGCTAGTTTTTGTTAGCCACTTCAGCAATGAAATGGGTTATTATAATGTGGTTACTGGGGGAATGCAGGGAACGCGGAGGGGGAGGGGCTGGTAGGGTTATAGCCCTACCACTTTTATTGCTGGGATTTATTTTCTAGGGCTCCAGTTGACATGGAAAAAATTTCCGGGGAATTATTGGACTTTGCCCTGTGGAAGAGTTGGGTGTTTGTATGTCCGAACGATTACAACCTGATTTGCTTGCAAGGATAATAAGATGTAAGGCCCAAAATGAAAGGAGCGATTTAATTTTTTCTTTGCTTTTCATCTTGGAGAGCACCTTTATTCCCACACCGATAATCTATCTAAGGATTTTCAGGGTACTAAGATGGCTGCTGTCATTGGACAACGCCTGCCAAGACTAACAAAGAAGACGCTGACAAAATTTCGCACTGATGAAAGCTTGGACCATTTCTATGCTGATGTTGCCTGCAAGAGTGAAGGCCTGCTTAGCGAACCAACGCTTCCAAGAAAACGACGCAATTTGGTCAGACTGGAGGTTGGTGCTGGTGCACCAAGCTATCCCCAAACTGCCAAAGATCACTTTAGAGGGGTCTATTATGAGGGTATTCATCTTATCGTCGGGCTATATATCACCGCGTTAATCAGGAAAGCTTCAGCTCCTACGCCCAGATGGAGACCCTCTTGGTTAAAGCTCATATTGGTGACGACGAGGCAGAGTTCAGTTTCGTGATGCGTCATACAGCGAAGATGTTGATACAGGGGCGCTACCTGAGCAACTAAGTATTTTGGGAGTTATGTTAAAGGAGGAGAAGATATCATGTTTTAACGAAATCCTGTTGGCGGTGTTATAGTTTCCAGAACCAGAAAAGAGGCTAATTCAGGAAGTCCAAACTATCTGTAAGCTGCTTGCTGTAAATCCTGTTACCAGTGCTGCTGGCAAGCGTTCACTCTCATCTTCACGGCGTCTGAAGACGTCGCTTCGATCCAAGATGCGTGACGAAAGGTTTAGTAACTTAGCAGTGTTGCCGGAATGGTCACAAGCGGAGAACAGACAGTGTCTCTATAGCTGAAGTCGCACAGGAGTTTGTTTCCCGCAATGAAAACCTCAAGAGAAACTTTAGCATTGCGGACAACTTCAAAAAGTAGCAATCTTAGGAAGGTTTATTTAACATATTGGCTATACTGAACACTATAACAAGTCACGACGTTTATGTTATATTTGCTGAGGTTGTAAATAAGATGGCGCGCAAATGCAAGATAAATGGCGAAACACTGAACTTAATGCTTCTTTGTACTGGCCAGATTTTTCAGCCCCACCACTTTAAAATGGTCTCCGCGGTCCCTGGAATGCCTGTAGTGGTGCGCCTTTTTCTAGCCTGCAAACTCTCTTTCTGTGTTACTGGAGAGAACTTTTCGCATTTCTGATACACCCTTTGTCTTTCTCCACAACTGACGAAACAATTTGAGTATATTCCAATTTTCTTTGCTCTAGTAAGTTTGTTGATGAGCAAATCCTCCCGTAAGCCTCAAAAACCCTGGGCTGTACGGCATACTGTCGTGCATTTTATACGTAGTTGGTGCGCCGAAGTCCAATATGTAGGTTTGGGTGGGTATCCATTTGTTTTTTGAAAAACGTTTGTGTTCAATTAATCACCAATTAATAGACTTAATAGACTTTATTTTAAGAGGGGAGCACGTGACAGTAGTGAAACTGATGACCCTGTGCACGTGGCCCTCTACAAAATAAAACTTTAGATATAAAAATGAGCGATGACCTACACTAGAAATATTATAACACTCAAAAACGAAAGAGAAATAACTATTGATTAGATATCTCTCTCTATTATATATTCATCACATTTGAAGATACCAATACAACACGGTGATTTAGGGCCTGTTTACATGGAGGTAAGGGACCTCCGGCGCCTGTCCATATAATCTCTCATTTTAATTTGCTCACGTTTACATGATACTTGGGGTAACCCGCCACATCTTACCTGAACTACCTGTGGTCCCTCACCGACACGTAAACAGGCCCTTAGTGTTAAGTAAATTGATGTTGCTTTTTTCATCCTTAATGACCTTAGTATCTGGAAAGTGTAAGGAATAGTAGGAGATTTCAAGCGAATTTGAATGATGTTTCAGCACCGCTGGGGTGTTCTATAAATTTAAAAGTAGTGAGAGAACGTTCGTTCCCTTTCCAAATTATCAAAATGTCGTCATTTAACCGTACCCTGTCAATTATGTAATGGAACCATTCTGTTCGGTAGAGGCACGATTTGTATTCAACCAGTCCATGACAAGTACGTTTACTTAACTTTTTGTTGAACTTGATATTGCTCAACGGAGGATTTATGAGGAGACAATTAACGGTCTTTGCGGATGGTCTGTTCAGAATAGTTTTTGCCCCCAAAATTCATGTTTGGGCGTAAACTACTCCACCTCTCCCCATACATCAGGTTTGCTTTACATATTCCTGATTACACCAAATGCCATCATGTAGTGATTTCACACGATGAATCGCATAGTCTCATGTCAAGTAACTTGGTACGCACAGATCAGGAAATTTTTTTTTACCATTTGCAATGTTCTCCAAGCTGGTTTAGTAAGCACCGAATTTTTCTTAGCTTGTGTTCAGCCCCCCCTCCCCCCTGAGGGAGGGGGGATCTGTACACAGGCTAATTGTGCTCGAGCTAAGTTATGAATGAACTCAGACATTTTCGCTATTTTTTTTTTTTTCATTTCACCGATAGGTACAAAATGTAAATCAATGTAAACACAACCCAACACATATTTAACCCATTGGTTACTTAGTTTTAGAAGAAAAGAGACGCTAATGCACCTGTGAATGTAAAGCCGGCGGGGGGGCGGGAGGGAGGCAGGGCATGGGGTGGGGATTTGACATTTTTCAAAAATTTGCAGTCAAATTCCCTGCCCACGGTCAAATCATTCCAGTCAAATGCAACCCAATTTCCCAACCCCGGGCTGCATATTACGCTGTCAAATATCCCAAGGCTGGACCCAAGAAAGGCACAATAAAAATATCTCCAAATAAAACTCTGAAATCTTTATTTATATTACGTTGCTGCATCACCAAAGATACATGTTCCTTTCACAGCTGCAATTATACGTTTTAACCATAATCCGTGTTACACTGCGTAGAATACAGAAACCTTTAAAAGAAAGTCCACATTTTGTAAGTTTAAATATACCGTTCTTAGTAAAGGGTACAAAGAAAGTCATTTTTTATAAGCTTGGTGATTGTAGCGAATGAGCCATACACAGATCAATTGTACTAGCAAAAATCGACTTGGTTGCTCTTTACTTCCGTTTACTTTGATACCACAGTATCTTAAGAGGTTCAATTGATCAAAAACACGCTAAAACAAACGAAATTTGAAGACAAAACAGCGAAATCCACCCAGCTTTCACTTGTTCTCGTTGGCCTCCATGATTTCCAGATCTTTCCAGACCGTACGGCGCATGCGGGAGGCGTGGAAATTATAAGGAAACATATGTTCGGTCTCAGTCTTTTTCGTCCGAGTCGCGTATTTTCATATCGGGCGAAGAAAGATTCAAATATCCCCTCCCCTGGGGGAACAAGATCAGTCAAATGCCCTACCCCAAGGCCAACAAAAACATTCAAATCCCCACCCCATGTCCTGCCTCGCCCCCTCCTCCCCCTCTGGCATAACATTGATAGGTGC